TAGATTCAATCCTCGCCATATTTCATTCGTTTATCTATCATAACAAAACATGCCCTTTAAACACATTGGCTATATATAAGCAAAGAAAAAGACCATAGTTTTCTCTTTGAAATTTCATATTTCCTCCCATCTTTCTTTTAAAAGTATTTCGTTGTCATAATTATTTACTAAATATCTAATTTCATAATCATTTTAAATAAGAATAAGTCTTAAAATGAGATAAATGCCTCTAATTTGAAATTATGATTTTAATCTTTGTCATTTCAATGCCGTAATGAAATTATTTAGCTGAATGGGTTTGCCTGTAAACCGAGACTATCGCCAAATCTAAATGAGATTCTCGGGGAATACAATCTCTTTAAGGTTCTACATTCAATAAACACAGTCGATATCATGTTCATAGTTTTATAGAACTATAGAATGTATATCTTTGAATTTATATATTCGTTAATATTTTGTTCCAAGTTTACGGTTGCGGTTCACGAACGTTTTCCTATTTATTTAATACAATAACGTATACGTATGAGCTTGCTCATTGTTGAATACCATATACATGTAGTATCCTTTAGTTATTTACCTCTGTGGTGGGTAGTTGTCGCACTGGCAATCATACCACATCTCCTTATTTTTACTCTGCTGGATAGTTGTCGCACTGGCAATCATACCACATCTCCTTATTTTTTTTTATGAATAAATATGCCATTTATACACAAATAAAAATCAATATGACTGATGTAATTTCTTCTATATGTTTTGCGGAAATGTACGCCCTCAATTTGGGAAAAGGGGGGGGATAATTGAAGGGTGATGTTTCCAAAATATCATATTGAATTTCCAAAGACAAATGTTGAGTAGTAAAATGTCTCTCTCTTTCTCTTCGCTAAAATAGATTATAAAAATTACTTTTCATTCGTAAAAGTTTTAAGAAAAAATCTCCATATACTTTAATCCGAATGCCATGAACGCAAGTACCAAGATTCAACACGAATATTTCTTTAAACTTTCTGTTGAATATATTTTGTATAAATTACATTTATATCAACCACTTAAGAATGTGAATTTTCTACATATAAGCGTGCACTTATTAACTTCTCACTTTGTTTTTATCTTGCATATCGTTTAACGAACGCAACAATATTTCCATACAAAACTTGCAACAAAAAAGAAACAGATTTTCTATACCAACAAGATAGTCGAGATAAACTGTACCTCTAAAGTTGAATAGATTTAAATAATGTAGAAGTCAAGTGAAGCATTGAAGTCATACTTTATCAAGTAATCAAACACACCAAAGAGACATAAAATACGTTGATCAATCTACCAAATTTGACTGCGATACATTCAGTAATTTTTTGTAACTGACCATGTGAAGTAGAACCACGTTATCAGGGTTATCGTATACCATCTGGAGAAGACTAAAGTGCACATTGTCATAATGTGTGTGGTACTTGAGATGAACAGACAAAAATTAGACCTATATTATATATGAAAATCTTTACTGATGATGAAACACATTCATATTGTTGAGATATAGATAAACATGTTATGTTAAACTTGTCGTTGATATTTTCCAATTTTAGTTTGTAGTAAAATTTACTTTATCAGACGTTCCTACTGTCAGTGGAGAGAGAGAGAGAGAGAGAGAGAGAGAGAGAGAGAGAGAGAGAGAGAGAGTTGTTTCGCCCATACTCTAATAGTCTACATCCAATATCAAAAGTATCGTGTGTTCTGAAGAAAAACTGGCAATTCATTAAATTCCTTAGGGATTTCATGGCTAAACGATACTATAGTGTTTTGCGATTAATTCGTCAGTGTCAATATGCATGTAGGTCCTTGAAGATCGCAAACTAAACGGTTTGACTTAATCTAATATACAATGAACGGCATATTTGCTGCTGAAAACTTTACTCCCCGCGAATTTGGGACAATCTGATTAAAATATAAATCTGTCGGAGGAGCACGCGAGTTCCGAAAGTCAGATTGGATTTAAGACTAATACACGAGGGTCTGGATGGGGGTCCTTCATTTCTGTATTCTTTAATTTTTTATGCCATTTTTCTCTATTCTTCAAATTTTTGTCCATTATTCTCTATTCTTTATATTTTGGTCCATTTTTCTCTATTCTCTATATTTCCCCCCATTATTCTCTATTCTGGAAACCCGCATCCACATCCTCATACACAAGCTATGCAAGAAGATACCTCAGATGATGCATACTGTAAGGGGTGAAATAAATTCATACTGTCTTTCTAGGTAACAAACAACAATAAATCGTGCATATATGGTAATGTTAACGTTGATTGATTATTCCTTGCTTAAACGCCCAGCAGCTAAGCAAATATATTTCATGCATATTCAGGCCATCTTATGTAGTGTTGGTGTTATTTTGCTTGTAATATTTTCAAAATGGACTATTAAAAGCGGATATTCCAACTTTTGTCAATCAACAATTTGAGTCTTTTATAAACAATATAGGGATTATGTAAACATTTATATAAATATTAATCATTTTGTCATATAAAATAGATCAAAAGCACGCTTTCAAAAGATTTCTCGGAATCGAAGCTGCTAGTTCATTTGTATTCCGAAGTTCATTGTATTATGATTACTTATATATATATAGATCCTAATATCATAATCCTTCTATTCAGTTTTAGTTTAAAAAAGGTATGCATTACATAATAGATAAGCTGCTTTTTATAAAATACCTGTTTTTAATAAAAACATACCTTCTTTGTTTCTGTACTTTTGAAATGGTTGAATCTTGTTATTTTGATGACTATCCTTCAATCGAGAGACTTATTAAGGGTTTACCATATAAATTTATATACTAATTTTCTGTTTTGTTTGTCGATCCAATCGAAGTTGTATTTATACTTTCATGTATTTTGACAATTTCAAAAACATATGCATATATATATATTAGGCTTAATAGATTAGCCAAATAATGACATTCCCACTCTAAAATCGTCTCTACGCACATTTTTTGTTTATTTCTATGTCATATCTCGAGACACGAACTTACAACCCTTTTCCACAGGCACTTGTCTCTTAAAACAAGGATTTGTATAGTGTCTCACTATACAAATCCTTGCTTAAAATAAGAATTTCCTATATACCTTAATATAACACGTGTTATATTCAGGTAATAGGGATAAACATTTTCAGAGACAAGTGCCTGTGCCATTTTCTCGTCTTTCGACGACCATACATATGCGCCATGAGCATGTTAATTGACAGAGGTACTACATGTAATGTAGTGGAAGTTTCTGCATGGATGGGGGTCCTTTCTTTCTTTATTCTTTAATTTTTTAGACCAGTTTTGCTCATTATTCTCTAATCTTTATATTTAAGCACCACATTATTCTCAATATTTTCATTATTGTTTTTATCTATTTTTCTCAAATTTTCACTATTTTCGCCATTTAATCTGCACTTTTTGTCCATTATTCACTGGTCTGTAAACCACATCCAGATCCTCTTATATGGACATAGCTAAACGCAGATCATAGAGGTCAAGTTTAGATAGGTTTCGATTGACACACAAAAACAGATGATACACAGGAAACATAGAAGTTCTTCAAGGAGGAGAGTTGATCAACATTTTATTGTTTCATTTTATTATCTTTTTCGCTATCAAATAAAAAATAATGTATATCCACAAATATATATGTTGACATTTTGCCTTTGGGATATTTTTAGAAGACAACACTTGTCATATCTTATAAACATGACATATTTTATGTATCTAGTAACCATTAAGTACCCGGGTACCACAAAAATATTTACTTAAACTTTGTGACTAAGCAAAATTAACATGTAATGGGTTATATATATCTGAAATTTGATTTTTCGACGTGTTTATCCGACAGGTTTTGGTGCTGGTATGTTAGACTTGCTAGCGTATCAATAGCCTGACGGGGTCCTGGCTCACTGCTCCAAATGCTAACTTTAAAAATTAGATCGGATACGGAAAAAACCCTGCCCTTCTTGTATGTGACGTGTGCAATCTCCAATGAGTCAAAAAGTTCCGAGCAAATATTATAAAGCAATTAATTTCATGTCCTTGCAGGCCCGAGTCTAACTGACTCCCTCCTCATATATATAAATGTATATAACAAGGCATCAAATAAATAAAAAAAATATATATCTTGATAATGTGGCAGTTTGTCTTATAAAAATAGGTATTGTAAGATTATTTTTTTTATATCTCCAACTCGTCCCGCTCATATATTTTTTTCACGAAATGCACGAATAACAATTATCCCCCCCCCCCCCAAAAGTGATAAAATAAAAAAAAAATTGTATGGAAAATTGGTTCTAAGACATATATATATGTATACTTATTTATATGATTATTTGACTAATTGTTTAAATGTTAATATATTTCACTGATGTAATTGAATATTTGTAATATTTATATTCTATAAGTTTTATTGCTTACGAATAAAAAGATTATGTGTCCTCTCGTTAAATAAAAAAAGACGGTTTTGATTAAATACGATAAAAAATAATCACTTTCAAGCAGTTTTTTTTTTTTTTATATTTCATTGATCTTATTGCATTTACAAAAATATAGGCAGAGACATACAACATAATTGTATTATATATAGGTGAATCATGCCTCCTTTGGTATTTTATCATTAAATAACTACTATTCAAGAAATATAGTAGCGAAAAAATACATTCGTTGCATTTCACACGATTCAGTTAATTGCACGTCATAAAATCTCTGAATGCAACTATGATCCGTAATTTAATTAGTGAATTGTAATTTCACCTGACAAGTTTTCTTTGTCGCTAATTAAATCCGAAATGGATTTGACATGTTACTTTCTCGGAGTGTTAATTGCAAATAATCACTCAACCGGTCCGAGATTTACTCTAGCCTTGTTTATTCCAGAGGAGGTCATCAGAATAGCTTTCTAAGATTAACCAATCACATCAAAGATTACTTGAACAGAAGTCGATAATTGGTTGTACGTTTCTAGATTCCCCTTGCTGTCAGACAACGACGATTGCTCAAGGGGAATGTTGAAACGAGCTAATTGTATTCCAATGTTGAGAAACACAAAGGCTGAGCGATTTGAGTAATATGTGCTACGATCGAACATGGATATATGTAAGTGTTTCTAATTAAAAGGCAGTTTAAAACAAGGTTGTGAATTCAAAATATTAAGTGAATTATTCATCAGTCAATGATTGTCGATAAATTAAATTCAAGAGGTGTATTGGAAATATAAATAACAATGGCGGCTACTCAAACAGCACTGCATTTTTGTGCTTTTCTTGTGTTCGTCTTACTGACAAATGTAATCGCACAGCAAAAACCAGAGCATGGAAAATGTGAACCAATTTCAATACCTCTTTGTAAAGACATCGCTTATAACCAGACGATAATGCCGAATTTACTGCAACATCAGAAACAAGACGATGCCGGTTTGGAAGTTCATCAGTTCTTTCCGTTAGTTAAAGTCAAATGTAGTCCACATTTGAAATTTTTCTTATGTACAATGTATGTGCCAGTATGTACCGTGTTAGAGGAAGCGATTCCTCCATGTCGTTCTCTATGTAATCAAGCTCGAAATGGATGTGAAAGTTTAATGAACAAGTTTGGATTTTACTGGCCAGAAAGCTTGCAGTGTGATCAGTTTCCACCAGACGGTCTTTGTGTAGGAGAAAATAATACTGAACCCTTGCCTAGTGGCACAACTTTGAAACCGGGTACCGGAGGAGGAAATGATTTCGGAGGGTACTATCCTTGGAACCCAAACCCTGGAATAGAAAAAATTAATCCAGGAGTAATCCTCACAAACTCAAGTTATCCAAATAATCATTTCAAAACATCATTTCAGTGTTACAATAAATATGAAGTGAAAGCCGGTCATGATTATCATTTAAAAATCGGGGAACATTTCATTCAAGACTGTGGTGCTCCATGCAAGGATATGTTTTTTAGTGACGATCAAAGACAAACAGCATCGCTTTGGATAGGTGTGTGGTCATGTATCTGTTTAGGATCAACCCTTTTCACTGTCATGACATTTCTTATTGATATGACACGATTTCGTTATCCAGAAAGACCCATTATTTTTCTTTCTGGATGTTATTTCATGGTTGCGTTATCTTACGTTGTTGGATTTGCATTAAAAGAGACTGATGTAGAGTGCACAAAATTTCGTGACGCTGCTGATTCTGATTTATTATTCATTACACAAGGAACTAAAAAAGAAGGATGTACAGTATTATTCATGGCAATCTATTTCTTTAGCATGGCTAGTTCTATTTGGTGGGTCATTTTGACCTTAACTTGGTTTCTTGCTGCAGGAATGAAATGGGGTCACGAAGCCATAGAGGCAAATTCACAGTATTTCCATCTAGCTGCTTGGGCCGTACCAGCAATCAAAACAATTGCCATTCTAGCCATGGGACAAGTTGATGGAGATGTGTTAAGTGGAGTATGCTTTACTGGAATTTCCGATGTTGATGCTTTACGTGGATTTGTACTGGCACCGTTAGTTCTGTATCTGGTCATTGGAACTTCATTCTTATTAGCTGGATTTATCTCCCTTTTCAAAATTAGAACAATTATGAAAAACGATGGCACCAAGACAGACAAATTAGAAAAATTAATGGTGCGTATTGGAATATTTTCTGTTCTATATACTGTACCAGCTACTATTGTAATTGCATGTTACTTTTATGAACAATCATTCAGAGACGAATGGATGAATAATTGGTGCTGGAAAGAATTTACAACAAAAGGAAAAATTATTTGCCCTCCTGGGCCAAAAGAAGCTACGCCAGAGTTCAATGTATTCATGATTAAATATTTGATGACTGTTATTGTGGGTATTACTTCAGGAGGTTGGATATGGACAGGTAAAACTCTTGGATCATGGCGGGGCTTTTATAGAGGGATGTGTACAGTTTTTTGTGGAGCTCCTAAAAATGAAAGTGTTGTGTGAGAAAGTATCTTGAAATGATGAAAATTGGCATGGATATTTCATAGCTTCAGTGACCTAATTTAATAACACAGTTTAATTTTTCCCCCATTTTATAAGATGTAGAGTTGAAGAATTTTGGGAATTGACATTTATTTAAATAAAAAAATACAGGATTTAAATTTCTTTTGTTGTAAAATTTATTCTTCACATTTATTTAACTTATTAACTGTAGATGGAAGAATTAAAGTATTTTGTGATATATTTAATTGTTTTTTGCTAACTATTCATTCATAATTATATATGGTATAATTGATTTCTCTATCATGAATATAAGTGTTGTTTTTACAATAGTCACTGCCATCAAATTACATTTGAGGATAAAATTATATGCTACATGTACATGTACACAGCATTAGTCATATGTATTGGGTCATCATTACATGTATTTCAAGAGGTCATTGAAACTGTGAAATAATTGCTTCTTTAAATTATAAAGACATATTTATTTGCAATAACATTTTGAGGTTTAAATATTATTTCTGTTTTATAATTGTTTTTATTTTGTTGCTGTTAGTAACTTCTAACTTTTACAATAAATAGTGTATATATTGTAGATATTTTTTTAATTGCTTTTACAGTGATCTATCATATTCACAAGTCAGTGAGTCAAGTCAATTTCTGTTGAAGTCATTTTTGTCGAGCCTGCGACTTTTGTCGCAGAAAGCTCGACATAGGGATAGCGATCCGGCGGCGGCGGCGGCGGCGGCTACGGCGGCGGCGGCGGCGTTAGCTAACTTCTTAAAAGCTTTATATTTTAGAAGATGGAAGACCTGGATGCTTCATACTTTGTATATGGATGCCTCATGTTACGAAGTTTCCGTCAGTCACATGTCCAATGTCCTTGACCTCATTTTCATGGTTCAGTGACTACTTGAAAAAAAAGTTCAGATTTTTTGTAATGTTAAATTCTCTCTTATTATAAGTAATAGGATAACTATATTTGGTATGTGCGTACCTTGCAAGGTCCTCATGCCCGTCAGACAGTTTTCACTTGACCTCGACCTCATTTCATGGATCAGTGAACAAGGTTAAGTTTTCGTGGTCAAGTCCATATCTCAGATACTATAAGCAATAGGTCTAGTATATTCGGTGTATGGAAGGACTGTAAGGTGTACATGTCCAACTGGCAGGTGTCATCTGACCTTGACCTCATTTTCATGGTTCAGTGGTTATAGTTAAGTTTTTGTGTTTTGGTCTGTTTTTCTTATACTGTATGCAATAGGTCTACTATATTTGGTGTATGGAATGATTGTAAGGTGTACATGTCTAGCTGGCAGGTGTCATCTGACCTTGACCTCATTTTCATGGTTCAGTGGTCAAAGTTAAGTTTTTGAGTTTTGGTCTTTCTTTCTTATACTGCATGCAATAGGTCAGCTATATTTGGTGTATGGAATGATTGTAAGGTGTACATGTCTAGCTGGCAGGTGTCATCTTACCTTGACCTCATTTTCATGGTTCAGTGGTCAAAGTTAAGTTTTTGAGTTTTGGTCTTTTTTTCTAATACTATATGCAATAGTTCAACTATATTTGGTGTATGGAAATATTTTATGATCTATATGTCAGTCACGCAGGTTTTATTTGACCTTGACCTCATTTTCAAGGTTCATTGCTCAGTGTTAAGTTTTTGTGTTTTCGTCTGTTTTTCTTAAACTATAAGCAATAGGTCAACTATATTTGTTGTATGGAAGAATTGTTAGCTGTACATGCCTGCCTAGCATGGTTCATCTGACCTTGACCTCATTTTCATGGTTCATTGGTCAATGTTTACTTTACTTGGTTAATGTTAAGTTTATGTGACAGTTGTAATAAAGCTTTATATTTAGGACTATCAACATAATATCAATGATTAGTAAAGAAGGCGAGACATTTCAGCGTGTGCACTCTTGTTGTATAAAAGATGAGGTTTTTATACATTGTACATGTACATATTCAATACATGTTATTTCTAAATGTACAAGTATACTTTTCCCCCAAACAAGTTTGTGTCATTGATTTCTTTAAAGCAAGTGAATCTTTTTTGAAAGACTTCCTTTTAAACCCCTCTTTTTGACTGAATATTAAAGCATAAACACACATGAACATTTATTGATTCATTCATGAAGTCAGGTGTGTTTAAAAGGAAGTTTTGTCTTGTTTTTCTTGATGAAGTTGCAAACAAAATATAATTTTACTTGGTGACTTTCATTCAAGAAAAAGACAGTACATAGACATACAAAATTACATGTAAAATAATTCAACAAAAGATGTTAACATCTTAAACACGATGATTAATATTTAATTACTAAATGTTGATTTAACAGGTGTAAATACAATGTACTTCTGAAGGGTACTGGGGTGACTTTGAAATGGTTTCTGGTATTTCATTTTTCTTGGATTTATTTTTTGTGTCTACTTGTATCTCATTCCTGTAGGATTTACACGATCTTAACTACATGTAATTTGATTTGATAAGTTCAAAAGTTTCCCTATAAAATTTATGTTGCTTTACAGACATCAGTTGAACAAATTTGTAGTACCAACATCTGAGTCGGACCATGGTATACTTAGGTACAAAATGTATGCAAACATAGTTGAAGAGATAACAGTTGATAGTTTTTCAGAAGGATAACTTACAAGCTTCTAATTTCTTCCTTGGGGGGGGGGGGGGGGGGGTGTTTAGTACAGCTCCAGAGGGATATACATTGTAGGTTAACAAGAGTCAGGGGTTGATCTTTTTCTAATTATTTGATATAGAAACTGAAACGAAAACACTGATTTTATGCTTGCATGTGTATGTTTCATATTTGTAGTATTAACATGTACGTGTACACACAATAAGTACCACAGTACACAGATAGGAAAACCAAGCCAAGTCTGGTTCCCTAGGAGCTAATGCTCTTCAAGTACCAATCTCGTATTGAAAAAAATCAACCTTTAGATTAAATTCTAGAAAACATTCAATATATAAATCCATACATGTAGAATGTACTTAATGAATTCCATACATATACATGTATTTACAAATGTACCATTTGAATGATAAATACATGCAATTTTATTCATGCCAACTTGGGTTCTTGATATTTAATCAGAATGTGGATTTGCAGGCAGATGACTCATTTGAACACACTGTCAATAAAATCAATGACAATGAGTAAACACAGTAAACCTAAATTATCATCCAGTCACTATTCTTCAGAAAATTGCTTGTAAGAAAAAGTTAGGAGACTCGGACGACTATTTTTGGGTGGGGAGGGGGTGAGTTTTTTTTGCAGACAGAATATTTTTTTGGATTGATGCTGTTCCCATTTTTATTTATGTACATTATGTACATTTATACCTCACGTCTCATTTTATTCACGTTCCTTTATGCTTTTACAATTGATACAAATTCATATTGTACATGTACTATACTGTACACCTATATAGGTGCATTGTGTATAAAGGTCTGTTATTACATTAAATTTTCATGTTTACTCTCAAAAGTAGATACATGTATCTTTATTGGAATTTAATGTGAATTTTATGATAGGAAGTTTTACATGTCAGTCATAAATTTGCACTAAACTCAGAAAAGTTTAAAATCCTGGCATATTTCCATGATATTATTTCATACAGTTATTCAGTCACCTGGAAAATTAGTTATGGTACAAAAATTTTACATTGAAATGTAGCTTCTATTATTTTTATTTGTTATTCATATAGATCTACTAGTCAGTTTGGAATAAATATTAACTTGAATATATACCGAAATTGACCGCTGATAGTGATACACTATGTATCAAAACAAACCATGTTCATACAATTTTATATTAAACATTTAATTGGTCAGTAAACCTATTGTACTTCATCAAGCTTTTCGTACATTGTACACATACAAAATGTACAAGTAACATTGTACTTATGTTAATTAGTATTAGGGTGATTTGTGTACTTATATTGTTCTTCGTTTTTTCATATTTTTAATTTTGGCTAAATACTGAATTAAGATTATTTTTAACCTTTTTGCAAATTTGAAATATCTACCTAATAAGCTGAAGTCTTTATTGCGGGTAACATATTTAATTTTTTCATCTAGAAATTTGAATGTTTTGTTTGTTGCTTTAAAGGTGTTAGCTAGGATCATCAATTGAAAATATGATAATTTCTCAAGGGAGATAATTTTCAATGTCATCTATTTGTGGTGCCAAAAAAATAAAAGAAACATATCATTCAATGTTGGATGTAATTTTTTTATGTAAAGTTTAGAAGAAATTCGTTAAACTAGTAGTGTAAATATGCTGTATGCTTGAATTAACCATGAAAAACTCAATATATGATTGATTGATACTAAAATTAAACATGTAGTGATCTTTTCATTTTTAATTTAAACTTTTAAGTGTTAGAATTGCATAGCCAGTGTGAAGAAAGCACAAGCATGTTTGTCATGTAAATAGTTCTTAATATTGTATAGAATTTTGTAAATGTATGTATAGAAAAAACATGTACAGAGCTTTGAATGTGCAGCATGTGTGTTTGCATTGCAATCTTCATGAATATTCATGACATGGTTCATGTTAAATGGGAAAATAAGTGAAGTTTGTATGAGAATTAATGGTTGTAAGATTACTTACTGTTTGCACAAAATTTTGAATGAATGTGTTAGGAGTGGCGAAAGAATTAATGGTTGTTTTAGGAAACCCTGTTTTAAAAAAAACCCACAATGATCAAGCTCTTTTATTATACAAGGAAAATGTTCGTTTTAGCATTTTATTATACCATTCATTTTATTTAGAGTAATTATTATTTTACATTTTCTTATTCGGTTAGTGATCAAAGTAACATTGGGGCAATTCATTATGCAAATTATTTATTTTGCATATTTTACATATTATAGGTTATGTCATATATGCTTTTAGGTCAAATGTATGATGATTAAGCTTAAGTGTAACAACATGTATTCTGTTAAATGGTGAATTTTAATACCATTCGTGCATAATGTCATGTTGGTAGAATAACATAAATTTACAAATTTTTATGCTGAAGGTTGTATATCTTTCTGAAGTTGAAATACATACATATGAACTTGTGTTGTTTTTTTAGTGTATCTACTCTGCGTTCTTTGAAATTCATATTAGAAGTGATAAGTTGAAATTGATTAGGGTTGTATTAAAAAAAAATGTTGGCAAAGACACTAATTTGAATTTTTAATGTTTTGTCGCTGAGCATAGTTTCATAATATTTTTGTCTCCATAGTAAAAGACCAGAAACTTTGAATGTGCAGCTAACCTATAATTGAACATGTCTTTTGACTAACAAATACCTTTCTGATAATATTGTAAGTTGTCAATGGTTGTTAAGAATACAATCGTAGAAATAAACATAGTGCCATATCTAAATTGGATTTTTTCCTTAGTTAATAAGAAAACATTTCCAATTAACCTTATGACAGTTTAATTATTTTTTTTTTAGTTTTATATTTGTTAGGGAAAATTGTTCCGAATTTTTTTAGTGTTGTAGTTTTCATTTTTTTTTATTTGTATACTTGGCTGTTGAGGAAAAAGAATAAAACTGCATTCTTAATTTACATTATATTTCTAATAGTTTTTTTTACTACAAAACGGATGTGAAGATGTACATGTAACTTAAACAAAGTCATATGGATGACGGTTTACAGTA